AACAGCTGCTCTCTATTCACCCTGTCCATACCTCTCATAACCTCAAATCATGTTCCCCCCCACCTTAGTCTTCTCTGCTCCAGTGAAAACATCCAAGCCTATCTAGTCTCTCCTTATAGCTCAGTTTCTCCATCCTAGGCAACGTCCTGGCGAACCTCCTCTGCACCCCTTCTAGTGCTAACACATCCTTCCTGTAGTGAGGTGACCAGAACTGCGGACAGTACTCCAGCTGTGGCCTAACCAACGCTCTGTACAACTCCCACGGTACCTCCTTGCTCTTGTACTCTATGCCATGACTGATGAAAGCAGATGTCCCATTAGGCTCCTTAACTATGCTACTCATGTACTCTGCCAACTTAATACGCCCTCATCTTGTTTCTTCTTCCAAAATGCATCACCTCGCACTTATCAGGGTTAAATACCATCTGCCACTGCTCTGCCCACCTGACCATCCAATCTATAGCTTCCTGTAACCCACAACCATCCTCTTTGTTACTAACCACCCTACCAATCTTGGGGATCGTCTGCAAGTTTCCTTAACATTCCCACCCCATTTCCATCTATGGTCATTTATGTATATAACAAACAATAAGGGTCCCTGTACTGATCCTTATGGTACACATTGGACACTGGCCTCCTGTCATTCAAACAGCCCTCTACCACTACCCTTTGTGTCCTATTACTAAGCCAGTTTCTGATCCATCTCACCACATTTCCCTCAATTCCATGTGTTTTAACCTTCTGAATCAGTCTCCCATGTGGGACCTTGTCAAAAGCTTAGCTAAAATCCATATAAACGACATCAACTGAGCTTCCCTCATCCACATACTTGATCATGTTTTCAAAAAAAATTCTGACAAATTTGTTAGGCATGACCTCCCTCTGACAAGGCCATGTTGACTATCCCTAATTAACCCATGCCTTTCCAATTGGTATTAATTCTCTCCTTCGGAATTTTCTCCAGTAGTTTTCCTGCCACTGACATGAGACTTGCCGGTCTGTAATTTCCTGGTTCATCTCTGCCACCCTTCTTGAAATGTGAAACCACATTAGCCGTCCTCCAGTCCTCTGGCACTTTTGCCGTGGCTAGAGGGGAATTAAAAATTTATGTCAGAGCCTCTGCAATTTCCTGCCTCGTCTCCCACAGCAGCCTGGATTGCAGCTTATCCAGGCCAGGTGGTTTGTGTGTTTTTAAGCCCAACAGAATCTCCAATAACACTCCATTTCCTATATGAAACTTTGCAAGTTCCTCACAGTCCCTTTTCCTGAATTCCATACCTATGCACTCCCTTTTCAGAGTGAAGACTGAAGAGAAGTATTCATTCAACACCCTTCCAATATCCTGCGGCTTCACACACATGTTGCTCCTTGGTCCCTAATGGGTCCTACTCTTTCCCTGGTTAACCTCTTCCCTTTAACGTATTTATAAAATGTCTTCGGATTTTCCCTAATCCTGTTTGCCAGTCCTTTTTCCTGCATCCATTTTGCTCTTCTAATTGCAAATTCCTTCTTGCGCTTCCTGAATTCCTCTAGGGCCACAGCTGAATTGCTCCCTTTGGACTTGCTAAAATCCCTAATCCTCTTCCTCACCCAGTCCCGAATTATCTTAGATATCCAGGATTCTCTGAACTTACTGCTCCTACACTTCCCTCTAAAGATACATGTTGGACCTGTATCTTCCCTAGCTTCTTTTTGAATGCCCCCTGTTGCTCCGCTGTATACTTAACCAAGGAACTGTTCCCGGTTTACTGTGGCCAGATCCTGCTTTATTTTAATAAAATTTGCCTCCCCCCGTCCAAAGCTATCTTTTGCAGGTGATCTTTTTCCTTGTCCACAATAAATTGTGTTACTATCGCTAAAATGTTCCCAGACTGGCACATCAAACACTTGTCCGGCTTCTTTCCCCAGAATCAAATCCGGGCCTTCTACGTATTAATACAAAAAACTCCCCTGGATACGTTCAGGAAATCTGCCCCCTTTAACACTGTAACTATCCCAATGTATGTTGGGAAAGTTGAAATCCCCCAGTGTAATTACCCAATTATTACTCTTACACACTTCTGTGTACTGTCTACATATTTGCTCCTCTATTTCCCACTGACTCTTTGGGGACCTATAATTCACTCCTAGTAAAATGACTGCCTCCTTAACATTGCTAAGTTCTACCCACAAAGCCTCATTTGAGGGCCCTTCCAAGATAACCTCTCTCCTTATTGCAGTAAATGACTCCTTAATTAATAGTGCTACATCACCATCCTTTGTACGCCTTCCTCTCTCTTGTCCATAGATCCTATAGCCCAAAATGGTAAGTTTCCAGTCCAGCTCTTTCCTCGACCATGTTTCTGTGATGGCAAAAATATCATACTTCCATGTGTCAATCTATGACATTAACTCATCAGTCTTACTTATGACACTCCTAGCGTTAAAGTAAAGACCATCCAGCCTTGCTTTACTGTCTTTGACACTCAACATAGCTGAACTCACTGTGACTGTCTTCCTCTGCTGTAGTATGATGTGTCTCTGTTTCATTGATATTCTATGTCCCCTGTCCCTGCTAGACTAGTTTAAACTCCTCCCAACAGCATTAGCAAATCTACCTGCAAGGATGTTGGTCCCAGTATGGTTCAGGTGCAGATCGTCCCATTTGTACATGTCCCAGCTTCTGCAAAAATGCTCCCAGTGATCCAGGAATCTAAAACCATCCCTCTTGCACCAACGCAAGCCCACGCATTCATCTGTCCTGTTTTCCTACTTCTAAACTCGCTAGCACATGGCACTGGGAGTAATCCAGAGATTATAACCATCGAGGTCCTGTTTTTTAATCTGCTGCCTAACTCCCTGAATTCTTGAAGCAAGACCTCTTCCCTGACTTTGCCCATATCATTGGTTCCACGGCCTCTTAACTCATCACCCTCCCCTTTCAATAAGCCCTGCAGCTGTTCAGTGACATCCCTGACCCTTGCACCAAGGAGGTAACACACCAACCTGGAGTCACATCTCCAGCCATAGAAACCTCTGTCTGCTCTCCGTCTGAAGAATTCTCTATCATGATGGATGTTCCTTTCTTCTTTGTCACACCGTACAGTCAAGCTGCTTGTGGTGCCAGAAGCTTGGCTTTGACCACACTCCTCCGAGGCCGAACACCCACATCAGCTTCCAAAATGGAATACTGGTTAGTCACTGGGACCCCAGGAGACTCCTGCACTTATCTGCCTGTTCTTTCTGGACTGTCTGGTGGTCACCCATTCCCTTCTTTCCATTAATCCCTCGAGCTGCAGTGTGACCACCTCCCTAAACATGCTATCCATGTAGCACTCAGCCTCTCAGATGTGCCACTGCTTAAACTCTGAGACCCTGAGCTCCAGCTTCTGCACCTGGGAGCACTTCCTGCACTTGTGGTCACCTAGGATACTGGTGGCATCCAGATCTCCTGATATGTGACAGGCTGTACATTCCACTCAGCTGGCCTCTCCTGACATCTTTTAAACTTACAATTAATGCCTTTGATTGGAATTGTTGGATTTATTTTGTTAGACTTCCTACTCTATCACTAAGGTTATGAAAGGGTGAACTGTAACTATGTTCCCACTGCTCTAAACCTGTAGGATAAAGGGTTTACCAGTAATTGTCACATGCCTGTTACTCATGAATCTGAAGCCTTTCTCACCTTTTGAAGCTTTATGCTGCCACCAGGAGCCGCACTGAAGATTCTCGCGATGCTCCTGCAGCTTACTGGTTACTGTCCCCCCACTTCCCAGCTGCTGCTGTTCCAAGATAAGTACCCTGTAAGGACTAGGCCCAAATCCTCACCACACTGGTTACTTTGTCGCTCCCTGCCTTCTGGCTGCTACTGCGCTGGGCAAAGTGCCCTGTAAAGACTATATTGTGAGATATGGATTAAAGACTAAAGAATGGAATTGATGTACAGGTGGTCTAATTGGTGGAGCAGGCAGGGAGGGGTCGTTCCTTTGCAAGGTATGAGAGTATGCAGTGGTAGTATGGCAGGGCACAGTGTTAGTGGTGCTTACGTGAACAATAACTAGACCTTTTCCTTTCATTTCAGTCCACAGTCATGGTCTTACGGAACATGGTGGGTCCTGAGGACATTGATGATGATCTGGAAGGTGAAGTGACGGAAGAATGTGGTAAATTTGGGGCTGTGAATCGTGTGATCATCTACCAGGAAAAACAGGGCGAGGAGGAAGATGCTGAGGTGATTGTCAAAATCTTTGTCGAGTTCTCCTTGGCTTCGGAGATGCACAAAGCCATCCAAGCTTTGAATGGACGCTGGTTTGGAGGACGGAAAGTTATTGCGGAGATATATGACCAGGATCGATTTGATAACAGTGACCTATCTGCATGAACGCCACTCATACTCAGTTAACGGAACTCGTATCATGTTATGGGGTCTGGTATTCAGGAACTTGAACTAACACCTTATGTCTCAACATGTGACCTGACCTGGGAACCTTTGGCGAATGCTGAAGAATCCAATGGATTTCCACTCATGACGTGAAACAGTGCTGTTTCTGTTAAACTGTTCTAGTGTGCAGTTCCTCCACTCAATAGCAACTCTTAATGCGTACAAGTGCAGACTTGTACCAGTGTAGAACAGTCTGAGAGTTCAAATCTATGAACTGTCTGGCTGGGGCTCGCAATTCTTTGTTTAGTCCTGTTTTTGAGAGTGTCATTGGTTTGTTCAGCTATTGATTCCAGTCAGTGTGGGGGGTAGGGTGGGGGAATAGTTGGGTTGGGTTTGCTGGGGCGAAGTATGGGGAAGCATAATTTTGACAATTTAGTGTCCCAATGAAAATGGAACCTGTGGATTGTTGCTGGGTTCATGCAGATGCTGACTGATGGTCACTGTGCTGACACTTGTTAATGTTGAGGTCCATAAGAGCAAGACTTGAGTTTGTTCCTCTTTGACCAGTTCTAGACATGGAACAATCCTAATTGCTCAGTCCACTCTTCAGAATGGTTAAACTCTGCAATTCTTTTTATTTTTTTCAATGTGTTTACTGTATTGTAGAAAAATTAAGTTCCATTTCTATTAAAGAAATTAAATGAAGAAGCTTATTGCTGTACAGTTTTTTTCTGAGGTGTGAAAACTAAATGCTCTACAGCCGAATAATAATCTCAGCCTATTAGAACCTGCCACCTGCTTCCTTGCTGTCTTATTTCCTGGACACTGAAGCTGGTTGTCTGGAAACTGATGCCCACAAACTGCTAGTGTATTATTGTTTATCTGTCAGTTGGTGATAAACTTGTGTGGTATTACTGAGTAGTAGTGAAATGGTGTCATTTGAAGTTGTTGCCCGAGTTCTGGAATGTTTTCACAAAGGGCAATCATTGCAGGCCTGTCCACTAAAATATAATCTCAAGTAGTAGTAGTTTTTTTTTCCCCGTTTTCTCTCATGGAATGTGAGCATCGCTGGCTGGGCATCCCTAGTTGCCCCTTGAGAAAGTGGTGGTGAACTGCAGTCCACATGCTGTAGGTTGACCCACTATACCCTTAGGGAGGGAATTCCAGGATTTTGACCCAGCAACACTGAAGGAATGGTGATATATTTCCAAGTCAGGATGGAGAGTGTCTTGGTAGTGGTGGTATGTATCTGCTGCCCTTTCTTTCTAGATGGAAGTGGTCATGGGTTTGGAAGGTGGTGTCTGAGGATCTTTGGTGAACTTCTGCAGTACATCTTGTAGATAGTACACACTGCTGCTACTGAGCGTCGATGGTGGAGGAAGTGAATGCTTGTGGATATGGTGCCAATCAAGCGGCTGCTTTGTCCTGGATAGTGTCAAGCTTCTTGAGTGTTGTTGGAGCTGCATCTGTCTAGGCGAATAGATTAACACCTTAAATAGTGCATGAAGTTCTGACCAGAGCCTGCATGTGTGTCAACTAAAGAATTTGTGTCTGAACATTTCCAGTAGGAAAATTACCTGCTGCCTGTGAAAGGCAGGCATCATACTTCAGTGGTGTGGCAGTCTCCAGAATGGACAGGTGAAGGAACCCCTAGGAGGCAGTGACCATAATATGATAGAATTCACTCTGCAGTTTGAGAGGGAGAGGATTGAATCAGATGTAATGGTATCTCAATTGAGTGAAGGTAATTACAAAGACCAAGGGAGGAGCTGGTCAGAGTTGATTGGAAGGGGAGCCTAGTAGGAGCAGCAATGGCAGGAGTTTCTGGGGGTAATTTGGGAGGCACAGCAGAAATTCATCCCAACAAAGATAAAACATTAAGGGGAGGACAATGCAAGTCAGAGACAGAAAGGAATCAAATGAAAAAGCATACAATGTGGTGAAGATTAGCGGGAAGCCTTTAAAAACCAGCAGAGGATAACCACTAAGGTGGGGGAATGATGAAATGAGTGTAAACAAGTTGATTATATAAAAGAAGATTGCAAGAGATATCTAAAAGGTAACAGAGAGGCAAGAATGGACAGTGAACCGCTGGAAAATGAGACTGAAGAAGTAGTAATGGGGAACAAAGAAATGCCAGAAGAACTGACTAAGTTCTTCGCATCAGTCCTCATGGTAAAAGAACCAAAACTTTGAGAGTCAGCGCGGAGCGGAGTCTAATGGCCATCACTAAGGAGAAGGAGCTGGGGAAGCTGTAGGATCTGAAGGTGGATAAATCACCTGGACTGTGTGGACTGCACCCCATCATTCTGAAAGAAATAGTTGAGATTGTGGAGGTATTGTGGTAACCTTTTCAGGAATTACTGGAGTCAGGGAGGGTCCCAGAGGGCTGGAAAATGGCTAATGTAATACGCCTGTTTAAGAAGGGAGGGAGGCAGAAGACAGGAAACCACATGCCGGTTAGCCTGACCTTGGTCGTTGGTAAGATGTTAGAGTCCATAACTAAGGATGAGATTGTGGAGTACTTGTGAGTGTATGGTAAAATAGGGCTGAGTCAGCTCCAGCTTTGTCAAGTGGAGGCCATGCCTGACAAATCTTAGAATTCTTTGCGGAGGTAATGAGCAAGTTAGTCAAAGGAGAACCAGTGGATGTGATCTATTTGGGTTCCCAGAAGGTCTTTGACAAGGTCCCACGCTGTAGGCTGCTAACTAAGAGTGAGCCCATAGTGCTATGGACATGGTATTGGCATAGATAGAGGATTGGCTAACTAGCAAAAGGCAGAGTGTGGGGATAAAGGCAGTGGAGTTCTGCAGGGGTCACTGTTGGGATCACAACTATTCATGTTGTGCATTAACGATCTGAATGAATGACCTGAGGGCATTGCTACTAAATTTTCAGATAACATAGTTGGAGAGGCAGGTAGTGTTGAGGAAGCAGGAAGGCTGTAGAAGGACTTGAACAGGCTCAGAGTGGGTAAAGAAGTGACAGATCGAATACAATGTAGGAAAGTGTGAGGTGATACACTTTGGTAGGAAGATTGGAGGCGTAGACTATTTTCTAAACTGGTAAGGCTTCAGAAATCAGAAGCATAAAGGGACTTTAAGGAATCCTAATTCAGGATTGCCTTAGGGTTTATGTGCAGGTTCAGTCTGCAGTTAGGAAGCAAATGCAATGTTAGCATTCATTTCATGAGGGCTAGAAAACAAGAGCAGGGATGTATTGCTGAAACTATGTAAGGCTTTGATCAGACCGCATTTGGAACATTGAGCAATTTTGGACCCTGTTTCTAAGGAAGGATGTGGTGGTCTTGAAAGAAGATCCAGAGGAGGTTTATAAAAATAATCCCAGGGATGAAGGGCTTGTCATGTGCGGAGTGATTGAGGACTCTGGGTATGTACTCAATGGAGTTTAGAAGGATGAGGGGGGCGTATGAATGAAACTTACAGAATACTGAGAGGCCTGGATAAAGTGGACGTGGAGAAGACCAGTAGGAGAAACTGGGACCCGTGGGCACAGCCTCAGAGTGAAGCTGTGGAACCCATTGCCGCAGAAGGCTGTGGAGGCCAAGTCATTGAGAGAGGTAAATTGGTTCTTGATTAGAAAGGGGGTCAAGGGTTACAGGAGACGGCAAGAGAATGGGGTTGAGAAATGTATCAGCCATGATCAAATGGCAGAGCAGGCTGGATGGGTCGAATGGCCTAGTACCTGGGAAATAACCTTTGGTAGCAGTGTCCAGCAGAACCCTCTGAAATGTAGATGGTGTCTGACTTGCTCACCACTTGTCCACTGATATGTAAACATGACTGTACCAAACACTGGAGTCTGGGTATTGCTGACCGAAGCCAGTGGTAAATGATACAATGTGGTATTGCCCACTGGGAAGTTTGGAATGTTTCGTAGCTCCCTCCCGAACCCATTAATTATTTACTCTGTAGGCAGATTTGCACAGAACGCTCCATGTATTCAAGGGTCAATGAATGAGCTCAGAGTGAGCACAGAAACAGACCCTTCGGTCCCACATGTCCATGCTGACCAGATATTCTACATTAATCTAGTCCCATTTTCCAGCATTTAGCCCATATCCCTTGAAACCCTTCCTGTTCATATACACATCCAGATGCCTTTTAAATGTTATAATTGTAAACCAGAGTGGAGAACGTGGCCAAGGGATGAACGCTGTGCTGGAAGTTGCTGAATACCTACATTTGGAATAGTGGAATATGATCTTAACATAGAACCGTCGTAAAATGTCAAAACACCACAACAGGCCATTTGGTCCATTATGCCTCTGCCGGCTGTTTCAAAGGGATAGGATAAAAACAGTTAAACCCCTCTTATACTGTTCTCACTGTTTATAGTGCTTCCAACTTTTGTATTGTCCATTAACATGGGAATTATACCTGACACTGCAAGATCTAGATCTTTAGTATAATTCTGGGTAGCAAGGGCCCTAATACCAACCCTGCGGAACCCCAAGCCTCCTTCCAGTTTGATAAACCAATCTGATAAATCATTGCTGCTTTCTTTGAAGAGGTGACCAAACACATGGATGAAGATGAAGCAGTGGATGTGGTATACATGGATAAGGGTGGGGAGGGAAAATGTCCTTGGTAGTGGGGTCAGATTGCAGGTGGCGGAGAATGATGCGTTGAATCTGAAATGGGGTGATACGTGAGTACAAGGGGAATTCTGTCTGTTATTGCGGGGAGGGAGTGTGAGGGCTGAAGTATGGGAAACGCAAGAGATGCGGTCAAGGGTGTTTTTGACCACTGAGGGGGGATGTTGCGGTCCTTGAAATACGAGGACGTCCAGGATGTCAGGGAGTGGAATGCCTCATCTTGGGAGCAGATGCGGCAGAGACAGAGGAATTGGGAATAGGGGATCACATTTTTGCAGCAAGGTGGGTGAGAGGAGGTGTAGTCCAAGTAGCTGTGGGAGTTGGTGGGCTTGAAATAGATGTCGGTTTCCAGGTGGTTGCCAGAGGTGGAGACAGAGGGGTCCAGGAAGGAGAGATAGAGGTATCAGAGATGGTCCAGGTGAACTTGAGATTGTAATGGAAGGTGTTGGTGAAGTGGATGAACTGTTCGAGCTCCTTGTGGGAGCACGAGGCGGTGCCGATATTGTCCATCCCTAATTGCAACGAGGGCAGTTGAGAGTCAACCACGTTGCTGTGGGTCTGGAGTCACATGTAGGCCAGACCAGGTAAGGATGGCAGTTTCCTTCCCTAAAGGAGTTTAGTGACCCAGATGGATTTTTCCCCAACAATCCATAATGGAATCACAGTCATCATTAGATTCTTAATTCCAGATATTTATGGATTCAAATTCCACCATCTGCCATGGCAGGATTCAAACCCGGGTCCCCAGAACGTTATCTGGGTCTCTGGATTAACAGTCCAGCAATGAAACCATTAGGTCATCTCCTCCCCCCATTGTATCTTGATGACACAAACTTGTCTGTTTTTTGTGTCTGTACGCATCTGTAGAAGTTCTAAAAGGGGGTTAAGGTGAGTGGGGAAGTGATGGCCTAGTGATATTATCGCTAGACTGCCAATCCAGACACTATGGTAATGTTCTGGGGACCCAGCTTCAAATGCTGCCACTGCAGATGGTGGAATTTTAATTCAGTTTTTTAAAAAAAAAACGGCCTGGAATTAAGGGTCTAATGATGACCATGAAGCCATTGTCAGGAAAAACCCATCTGATTCAATAATGTCCTTCAGGGGAGGAAACTGGACTACCTGTGACTCCAGACCACTGTGGTGCGATTTACTCTTAACTGCCCTCTGGACAATTAGGGACAGGCAATAAACGCTGATCTAACCAGCGATACCCTCATCTCATGAATGAATATTAAAAAAGTTTTTTTTAGACTAAAGAAGCCTAAGTGGGTGGAGTCAATCTCACATAGACCCCAGGTTTCAGTTTTGCTTTCAGTTTGAGTTAGAGTTGAAGCTGACACACACCAAGCTCACTCTCTCTGCTGCTAGACTGTTTATTTGATTTTATTGCCATGTGTACCAAAATACAGTGAAAAGCTTTGTTTACATGCGGTGCAGGTGGATCACAGCAAGCAAAAGGATGTACAAATCAAAAAAATTTAGAGGCGTAAAGGTTACATTGCAGATTACATTATTTGAAGCTAGAGTCCATTCAACAGTCTAATAATGGCTGGGAATAAGCTGTTCCTGAATCTGCTCGTGCATGCGTTCAGGCTTCTGTATCTTCTGCCTGATGGAAGAGGTTGTAGGAGATCATTACCAGGGTGTGATGGGTCTTTGATGATGTTGGCTGCCTTTCTGAGGCAGCGAGCTGTGAAAATGGAATCGGTGGATGGAAGGTTGGCTTCTGTGATGGTCTGGGTAATTAGGGATGGGCAATAAATGCTGCCTAGCCAGTGACGCTCTCATCCCAAAATGTCCTTGGTTCAGCCACTGTCTCTCTTACTCCCGGCTGAGAAATGTCAGCTGGTTCCCAGGCTCCAATTTTCTGGGTGTTGGAACCAGTCAGTGGGTGACTGCTGCCCTGTTTCTATTCCCTCGGCAATGTGGCAGGTGAGTGTAACATCACTCTGTGCAGACTTCAGCAAAAGCTGCCAGGAGTCACTTAGCTCAGCTTCTCACCCAGTGCAGGGCTTTGGAGACAATGCCAACCAGTGGCATCATACCAGTAGAGAGTCTTCTGGGAATAACTGGAAATGAGGACTAGTGGCTTGTGGCCTGGGGCTGGTGAAATCTGGGCAGCTGGGGTCCTGTGGCCACATCTGCTACTGGGGAAGGTGGCACCACTGGGAGCCTGGTGCAGTTGGTGTGGGTTTGGATGTGGCTGAGAGCTCTGAAAGAGGCACAAAAGTGCTGGCATTGGGGCTTTGTGTGGGACTGAGAGGTGCCAGACAGTAGTGCAGGAGTGTCTGAGCTTCCAAATCCTCTCCAGTTGCTCCCCTTCCAATGTCAGGCCTGGAGACCAGTGGGAAATAATGAGGAAGCCTGCAGGAAGAGCTATGCTTTGATTCTGAGCACAGTCTGAGCCACAGGGCTACTGCGTGAACCCTGGGTTACCCAGTTCCCTATCCCCTTGAGAGCAGGACGGTTGGGAAAGCTGCTCCCGAGCTGGAGGGAGTTTGTCCCAGTCTCACTAACGGGCCTTGTCTGTGTGTGAGTCTCTCTCTCACTGTCTCTTTCTTGTAGTCTGCACCAAGGATGGCCAAGACTCATCACTAAGGATCAGATGCAGAGAAGAGAATCTGAGGGTGAGTTTATGAATAATATCGAGATGGAGAGCAAAATCTTTCAGCCCTCCCTTCTGGTATTGTTTCAAGTGAAGAGTGTGCCTGGAGTTAAGGGTGGGGAATAATAGGGGACCAGGAAATGGCAGAGGAGTGGACCATATAGCCTGAATCAGCCTTCACTGTACAAGATCCTAATAGCATTCCAAGATGAAGAAATAATCAAGGGGCAGAAGGAGAGGAAATTATCCCATAACTCATACTATCACAACAGTGTGAGGGGGTAGCTAATAGGGTTAGAGACCTATGCATCACCTGGAGCTGCTGGGGTGGATCCCAGGATATTAAAGGAAGTTGCTGAGATACTGGATATACTGATGATAATTGTTCTGAGGACCATGTTTCATTTTCAATATGGCAAATCAAATTTAATTCCATTTTATTTCAATTTAAACCAAGCCTGTAATTAACAGTGTAATGATGACTATTTTCGGTTGCCGGAAAAGCCTATCTGATTCACTAATGTCCTTTAGGGAAGGAAATTGCCATCCTTACCTGATCTGGCCTACATGTGACTCCAGACCCACAGCAACTCTGAACTGCCCTCCCTGCGATTAACAGACATGCCCTCATTCCATTCGGCAATGAAAACAATTTATACCTGTTTACACTACAGTAACAATATCACAGGAAAATTACAATCATCAGAGAAGTGGTACTCAGTCAATTGGTGGAGTTTCAGGCTAACCAGCGCTTGGATCGTGTTGGACTTTATTCCAGGGTCTAAGAGCCTACTTAGATGTTTGCAACATTGGATTTAATTCTTTGATTTGAAGGTTCCATTGGATTGGAGGACAGTGAATCTGGCGTGATATCAGGTATTATAAAATAAGTAACTATTAGCTTCACATCTGTTAATGGGAAAAGGTTAGTCTTTGAAAGGATGTAATATCAGAGCATTTTGAAGCATATATTATGATCCATTAGTCTGCATTGGGGCCACAGCCCCATTCACGTAATACATAAACAATCTGGACAAAGGAACTGAGGGCATTCTTGCTGGGTTTGCAGATGACACAGGTGGAGGAACAGGTAGTGCTGAGGAAGTGGGGAGGCTGCGGAAGGACTTTGACAGGATAGGAGAGTGGGCAAAGAAGTGGCAGATGGAAAAAAATGTGGGAAGTCACATCCAGACACCCTACTGTTTTTGAGAGATAGTAGGTGTAGAGCTAGAAAGTTTTCTGAAGAAGGGTCTAGGCCCGAAACGTCAGGCTTCCTGCTCCTCTGATGCTGCTTGGCCTGCTGTGTTCATCCAGCTCTACACCTTGTTAACCCTACTGTTTTTACCTGCCATTTCATCAGATTACCGCCTCAAATTTGTGCCCCCTCTTCATTGATCTCCGATAGGGGTCTTCCCTGTCCACTCAACCACGGCCCCTCATTATTTAATACACTTTGGTTAATTCACTCCTTAATACCCTGATTGCACACTGGGAAGGGGAGGGGGTGCTCCCCAGGATGAGGGCAGAGGAAAAGTGTCGGTGAGTGTGGTAGAAGGAGCTCCCCGGGACTGAGAGGGGGTGTGGGGGGGACTGTGGTGGAGGGAGCCCTCCAGGATGATGATGCGTAAGGAGGGGACGGTGTGATTGTGTGGAATGAGTTTCTGAGTGTCCAATGGGTAACGGACTCCGTGAACTGAACAGACACAGTCTCCATCCTGTGCAAGCAGCAATTTTATTGAGGTTTTTAAATCAGAAAAAGCAGAAAGGTTACAGATCCCACACACATCCTCACAGAACAGACTAATCAAACAATACAGCTCAATGGTCAATTAGTCCTGGCTTCCTAACACCCAGAGACCATGGGGATTAATCCCAGTTTGATTCCGAGCTGTGGGTGTTCTGATAAAGCTGCTGTTCAATGTGAGAGTCCGGATGGACTGAGATTTCTCTCAGTCGCCCCATGTCCTGGATAGTCTCTCACAGACTTTCTCTGATGATGCTTCCCCACTGTCACTGAGCACAGCCTGATTGCCTGGCGTTCCTCCAGGGAGACTGTTTGACAGCGAGATCAGTGACTGTTTGTTTGTGGATGTGTGACAGAAACTGGGAAAGGCAGGTTCCCGTCTGAAATCCTTGTGTACAACAGCTTGAAAGCAGAGGGTGTGGCCCGGGATTAGGAACAGATTGATTGCAGAAGCTCAAAGCACAACATGGCTGTCTCCAAATGAGCAGCATTTTGGATTAATGTACATGGCTGGAAGATAAAATCACACAAAAATGCTCAGTTAGTGTCCAAATGAAAATCAAAATCACAATGTCAGGAATTAATACTTTTCATATTTCATTGACAAGGTGTGGCCATTAACTACAAGGCTAACATTTATGACTTTATCACGGAATGGAGGGTGTTGGAAAACCTGCTGATGGAACAAAGAACGTAGAACAGCACAACACAACGATGTTATGCCGACCTGTTATCCTGCTCTAAGATCAATCTGCCCTGCATACCCTACATTTCACAATCCTCGATGTGCCTATCCAAGAGTCGCTTAAAAGTCTCTAATGTATCTGACTCCACTACCACTGCTGGCAGTGCATTCTACACGCCCACCACTCTCTGTGTGAAGAACCTACCCCTGACATCCCCCCCTACACCTTCCTCCAATCACCTTAAAATTATGCCCCCTCGTAATAGTCATTTCGACCCTGGGAAAAAGTCTCTGACTATCCACTCTATCTATGCCTCTCATCATCTTGTACACCTCTATCAAGTCACCTCTCATCCTTCTTCACTCCAATGAGAAAAGCCCTAGCTTCCTCAACCTTTCCTCATAAGACCTGCCCTCCAGTCCAGGCACCATCCTGGTAAATCTCCTCTGCACCCTCTCTAAAGCTTCCACATCCTTCCTATAATGAGGTGACCAGAACTGAACACAATATTCCAAGTGTGGTCTAAGTTTTATAGAGCAGCAGCATAACCTCGTGGCTCTCAACTCAATTCCCCTGCCAATGAAAGCCAACACATCATACGCCTTCTTTACAGCCCTATCAACTTGCGTAGCAACTTTGAGGGATCTATGGACGTGGACCCCAAGATCCCCCTGTTCCTCCACACTGCCAAGGATCCTGCCATTAACGCTGTATTCTGCATTCAAATTCGACCTTCCAAAATGAATCACTTCACACTTTTCTGGGTTGAATTCCATCTGCTACTTCTTTGCCCAGCTCTGCATCCTATCAATGCCCCATTGCAACCTACAACAGCCCTCCGCACTGTCCACAACTCCACCAACCTTCGTAACATGAGCAAACTTACTAACCCACCCTTCCACTTCCTCATCCAACTCAGTTATAAAGATCACAAAGAGCAGAGATCCCAGAACAGATCCCTGCAGAACACCACTGGTCACCGAGCTCCAGGCTGAATACTTTCCGTCTACCACCACCCTCTGTCTTCTATTGGACAGCCAGTTTTGTATCCAGACAGCCAAATTTCCCTGGATCCCATGCCTCCTTACTTTCTGAATGAGCCTACCATGTGGAACCTTATCAAATGCTTTGCTAAAATCCATATACAGCACATCCACTGCTCTACCTTCATCGATGTGTTTTATCACATCCTCAAAGAATGCAATAAGGCTTGTGAGGTATGACCTGCCCCTCACAAAGCCATGCTGACTGTCTCTAATCAAACTGTGCTTTTCCAAATGATCATAAATATTATCTCTCAGAATCCTCTCCAATAATTTGCCCACCACAGAAATAAGACTGACCGGTCTGTAATTTCCAGGATTATCCCTTTCTTGAACAAGGGAATAACATTTGCCACTCTCCAATCATCTACTCCAATGGACAGTGAGGACGCAAAGATCATTGCCAAAGGGGCAGCAATCTCTTCCCTCACTTCCTGTAGTAGTGATTGATTTGATGTGACTGACTGGATTCACTCAGAGGGAACTTCAGAGTTCATCACATTGTGCTGAGCCTGGAGTCACTTAGTGGGGCTCCAATTCAGTGGGAACAGCAACAATGGAACACAAAGTGGGAAAGTGTGAGGTTATGCACTTTGGTAGGAAGAATAGAGGAGGAGACTATTTCCTAAATGGGGTAATGCTTTGGAAATCTGAAGGTCTTGGGAGTCCTTGTTCAGGATTCTCTTAAAGTTAACATGTAGATTCAGTTTGCAGTTAGGAAGGCAAATGAAATGTTCGCATTTATTTCAAGAGGCTAGAATACAAAAGCAAAGATGTACTACTGAGGCCACATTTGGAATGTTGTGAGCAGTTTTGCTGTCCTAGTGATCTACAGCTCCGGGAAGGCCCTTCAGCCCATTGAGTCTGTGCCAGTCAAAAACAGCCACCTAATGATTCTAATCCCATTTTCCAGCACTTCGCCCACAGCCTTGTTTACTTTGGTATCACAAGGGCACATCTAAATACTTCATCAGTGATGAGGGTTTCTGCCTCTCTCACACTTACAGGCAGTGAGTTCTAGATTCCCACCACCATCTGGGTGAAAACGTTTATCCTCACATTCCTACTAAACCTCCTGCTCCTTCCCTTTAATTTGACAGGGAGTCTACTTGGTCCACCTTGAGGCCAAGAACCAGATCTTGCCATATGTCCTTTTCCTTGGATGGGACAGATAGTGGAACAGAGTTGTAGCTATTTCTGTACTTTACCTAAGCAGTCTATATTAGGATAATTAAAGACCCCCACCCCAACCCCAACCCCAACCCCAACCCCGCATTGTAACTACACTAACATGTCTGTATTCTTGTAGTATCCCTGCAGATTTGTTCCTCCACATTCCTACTTTGGGTGGTGCTCTTTGAGTACCTTGAGCAATGTCATTGTATCTTTTTGTTCCTTGGCTCCAACCAAATGGATTCTGTCTCTGATCCTCTGGGACATCCTCTTTCTCCAGCGCTTAACCAACACTGCCTCTCCTCCCCTCCCCATTTTCATCTTCCCTGAGGTTCCCACCAATGTGCTCATCAGAGCAAAGACCTGTTGTTAAATATTCTGACTCACTATCTAGAATTAGAATCCATACAGTGTGGAAACAGGCCCTTCGGCCCAACAAGTCCACACCAAACCTCAGAGCATCCCACCCAGATCCATCCCCCTATGACCCACCTAATATACACCCTCTACCTCCCTGAACACTATGGGCAATTTAGCATGGCCAATCCGCCTAACCTGCACATCTTTGGACTGTGGGAGGAAACCAGAGCACACCCACGCAGACACGGGGAGAATGTGCAAACTCCACACAGACAGTCGCCCGAGGCTGGAATCAAACCCAGGTCCCTGGCGCTGTGAGGCAGCAGCGCTAACCACTGTGCCACCGTGTCGCCCATCTATTTGTGCTGCCACCTACAAGGGAGCAGTGGACATGCAATCCAGGTTCTGTCGGTTTTGAAGATCTCCCTTGTAACCCCCCCACCCCTCTCATGTTCGTAGTATCTGTCCCCATGAAGACATTTCTCAGACCGAGGTTGTCATCTGAGGCCCCAGGGAATGTGTGGAGATGGGTAGCTCCCAGTGACTGAGAGGGATTGGAGACGCAGGGGTTAGATTCTGACGATGACTACTCACTCTATATCAAAGTGTGGCTCATGAGGCCCAAAAGCTTTCACCTCACACAGCGTAAGGCACGTATTCTTTCCTGGGACGCTGATGGTGAGAAATACACCATGCACTCCGAGAGGTTTACAGTTAAACACCCGAGTCTGTCCTGCTGGGAGCGAATCAATTTTCACACAGCTATAAGAGATGGAGAGAGAAGCTCAATTCACAAAAAGCAAGGAACAAATCAGGAACAAACTCAAGATCAAACATAACAGGAGGAGTTGAATAAATCAGGAAGACAGTGGAGCGTGTGTGTGGCTGGGATTTCCACATGATATAGGCAATTGAAAATACCACAGGTTTGGTGAATTACAGAAAGGAGGGCCGTAAATTACAGAGAAACCAAAGAACTGCGGATGCTGGAGATCTGAAACAAAAGCAGAAAATACTGGAGAAACTCAGCAGGTCTGTCAGCATCTGTGGATAGAAAGCAGAGTTAATGTTTCAAGTCCAGAAACCCTTCCTCAGAGCTGAAGAATGCAGGGTTTGTGAATGACAGGATGTTGATAAATTACAGAAGTATTGACAAATTACAGAAATATTTATAAATTACAGTTCATTGCTGGTGCCGTTGTTTTTCAAATGGTCTCCAATGTGAATTTCTGCTCCTTCCAAAGCTTTGTCTTTGCTGGTGGTAATTGAGACTTGATAGACTCGGTAATGATAATGGAAATCAAGTCTCCACCAAGGAGACATTTCCACTTTAGTGCGACTGCAGGATCCCCTACTGACATCAGAAATATCATTTCCATCAACAGCATTCGAAGCATCTCCTAGAAAGTCTGCAAGGCTGGACTGAGTGGCCCGAATAGTCCCAGCCAAATTTCCTGGAATCAAAGGCATGAGAGTTAGTTTAAAAAAAATTAACCTTCCTCAACTCTATCAAAGTTTATCCTGTCTGTAAGATGGTGCTTGTGGTAGTGTTCATACCGCTGAGCCAGGAAACCTGGGTTCAAGTCCCACCTGCTCCAGAGGTGTGTAATGACATCTCCAAGCTGGCTGATTAAGGAATGTCTACCCAGTCTATAATTTGAGGTGTTTGGCAGAGGGGACAGGAGTTACACACAGGCTGTCATCTGGATTATGCTGACCCAGTGAGCGTTGAGAGCAGAGGAACTTTCAGGCAGGAATATTTTCAAAAGATTTTGAGGCAACAGTGGGGTTGCCTCTGCCTAATTGCATAGGGCTATGATTCTCTGATCAATGCCTCATCATAGTCACACAGCCATACACACATTCAGATGTTGACAGCTTTGTCCCAGGATGACCTGGTTCCCGTCGCTGTCTCTCAGAGCTGGGGCAGCTGACCTCAGGGAACTGCTCTCTGTACAGATGGTAGCTGATCAGCCAGTGAACACAGACACCGTCTGAGCAGCATCATTCTGATGAGGAAACTTCACTGGTTAGACATGAGGTTAAGCCCTTGCATTTTGTATTAGTTTGTAACTGGCTCACATGAAGAACTTACCTACAGCTGGATGAGAATTAGCCGAGCCCCAGAGACAGGCAAACACCAATAGGTAACGAGGCAACATCCTGTGGAACAGACAAATATAACAATTTGTTTCTCACATTGAGAATGAGCCTTGGATCAAAGGATCATTGAGAGATTGCTGTACAGAAAGAGGCTACAGCCACATAGGAATCAGGGGGAGACCCTTCAGGCCTGCTTTACCATTCAGTTAGAACATGGCTGATCCACATTACCACCTACCACTGACCATAACGCCATAAGCTATAGGTGCAGAGTCCAGCTGCTCACCCCATCGAGTCTGTGGCCTTTCGATCCTGGCCAAAATGTTTCTCAAACCCATTCTCCTGCCTTCTCCCCCAACCCTTGATGCCCTTACTAGTTAAGAACCCATCCATTTCTGTCTTAAATAAAGTCAACGATTTTGCCTCCACAGAAAATAGTCTCCGCCTCTATTCTTCCGATGAAAGTGCATGAACTCACACTTTCCCCCGTTGTACTCCATCTGCCACTTCTCTGCCCACTCTCCTGTCCAAATCCTTCTGCAGCCTCCCCACCTCCTCAATACTACCTGTCCCACCACCTATCTTTGTATCATCTACAACCTTAACAACAATGCCCTCAGGTCATTTGTCCAGATCGTTAACGTATTATGTGAATAGTTATGATCCCAACACTGACCCTTGCAGAATTACACAAGTCACCCGCTGCCATCCTGAAGGAGACTCCTCTATCCCTACACTTGCCTTCTGCTAGTCAGCTAATTCTCTGTGTGTGCCAGTACCTTGTCCCTAACACCTTGGGCTCTGGCCTTATTTAGCAACCTCCTGTGCAGCACCTTGTGAAAGGCTTTCTGGAAATCCAAAAAGGTCACATCCACTGGCTCTCCTTTGTCTAACTTGGCGATGATAAAGACTGCAGATGCTGGAAGCCAGACTCGATAGATGTGAGGCTGGAAAAGCACAGCAGGTCAGACAGCATCAGAGGAGCAGCATTCAGGACAAAACCCCCTCATCTAACTTGCTGGTTACCTCCTCAAATAATTCTAACAGATGTGTCAGGCAGGCCCATCCCTTGATGAAGCCGTGCTGACTCAATCGATGCACTTACACGTATTCTGCAAATTCATCAAAAATAATGGACTCTAAAATCTTACCAATGACTGAGGTCAGGCTAACTGGTCTATAATTTCCTGCCTTCTACCTCCCTCCCTTCTTTATCACAGATATTATAGTAGCCCTTTCCAGTCTTCTGGGAACTTCCCTGGCACCAGTGATTCTTTAAAGATCACCACCAATGTTTCCACAATTTCCTCAGTCACCTCCTTCAGAATCCTGGGGTGTAGTCCATCTGGTCTGGGTGATTTATCTACCTTCAGATCTTTCACTAGCCTAGCACCTTCTTCTTAATGATGACCACTGCACTCACCTCTACCTCCAACCGTCTTAAAGTTCCCATATGCTGTTCGTGTCTTCTAGTGTGGAGACTGATGTAAAATAGCTATTCAGAGCCTCTGCCATTTCCTTGTTCCCCATTACTACTTCTCCAGCCTCATTTTCCAGTGGTCCAGTGTCTACTCTTACCTTTCGCACTTTTTACATATATAAAAAATAACTCTTGCAGTCTTCTTTCATTTTATTAGCTAGCTTACTCTCCAGTTTCATCTTCTCTCCCCATTTTCCTTTTTAGGTATCCTCTGCTGGTTTTTAAAAGCTTCCCAATCCTCTGGCTTCCCACGAATCTTTACCACATTATCTGTTTCTTTTTCTGTTTCCCTTGTCAGCCATGGTTACCTCATCCTCGCCTACAAATAAAGTCAGAAATCGCACAACACCAGGTTATAGTCCAACAGGTTTATTTGAAAACACAAGCTTTCGGAGTTCTGAGATAACAAGGTGTAGAGCTGGATGAACACAGCAGGCCAAGCAGTATCAGGGGAGCAGGAAGACTGCTCTTCAGGTGTTATTGGGAGAGGTAATACCAGACACATAATTTATCAGTAAAAGATCAAAGCGTCACACCACTGATGAGGATGTGTTAAACAAACTAAAGATGCTGTTAAATCTTTAATCAGTTAGAAGGTTTTAATTGATTAATATGTATATGTAAATCCCCAAATTTCTTTCACGTCACTGTCCTGAAAGAACTAAAGGTTTTATTAGTGTAACACCTGAAGAAGGAGCAAAACTCCAAAAGCTTGTGTTTTCAAATAAACCTATTGGACTATAACCTGGTGTCGTGGAAGTTCTGAACTTGCCCACACCAGCCCAACACCGGCAGCTCCACATCATCCCCTTCGGATGTTTCTTCTTCCTTGGAATGAATTTCTCTTGTACCTCCTGAATTACAATCAGAAACTCCTGCCATTGCTGCTTCATCATCTTCCCTACTAGACCTCCCTTCTAATCAACTCTGGCCAGCTCCTCCCTTGTGTCTTTGTAGTTATCTTCACTCAGCTGTAATACTGTTACCTCTGATTCCAGCTTCTCCCTCTCACGCTGCAGGGTCAATTCCATCATATTATGGTCATTGACCCGTGGGGGTTCCTGCACCTTCAGCTTCCTTTTCAAGTCTGCCTCACCAAATCCAGAATTCCCTGTCTCCTAATGCACTTAGTGCAAGCTGCTTCAAAAATAACCAATCTTGTAGACATTCCACAAATTCCTTTTCTTGAGATCTGCAACTAATCTGATTTTTCCCCAGTCCACTGGACTATTGAAGTTCCCTGTGATCATTGTAACCATAGAATCCCTACAGTGAGGAAGCAGGCCATTTGGCCCACTGAGTCCACACCAACCCTCTGAATAACACCCAGACCCATCCCACTTCCCTATCCCATAACCCTGCATTACCCATGGCTAACCCACCGAGCCTGCATACAATGGACAACTTAGCATGGCACATTCACCTAACGTGCACATCTTTGGACTGTGGGAGGAAACCAGAGTACACCCACAAAGACACAGGGAGAACATGCAAATGCCACACAGACAGTCACCCACGCAAGGGTGAGATTGAACCTGGGTCCCTGGTGCTGTGAGGCAGCAGTGCTAACCACTGAGCTACCCAAGAGTGCCCTTCCTCCATGCCTTTTCTATCTCCTGCTTTATCTTCTGCCCTACATCCTGACATAACTGTCATCAGGGTCTTTATTCCTTTTGTGGTTCCTCAACTCTTAATTTAGCCCTTAGCTGCTCATACTCCCTCAGTTGAAACTCTTTACTCATTCTACCTACATTGTTGGTACCCACGTGGATCATAACAACTGGATCTTGTCCCTCCCACTCCAAGTTCCTTTGCACTGCAGATGAGATATCCGGAAGCCAGGCACCAGCCAAGCAACACTGCCTTCGGGATTCTCAATCCTGGCCACTGACAACAGTGTCTTAGCTATACTATCCCTGATTACAGCTACATTTCTCTTCGTCCCTGCTCTTCAATGGCTCCCTATGCCTCAGTGCTATGGTCAGTTTGCTCATTCTCCCCACAACTCCTATTCTCAGCCACACAGGGAGCAAGAATCTCAAACCTATTAGACAAGTTCAAGGGCTGAGGCTCCTTCAGTACTACCTCCATAATCACTCTATCTGCCTCACTTGGAGCTACAAATTTGTCCCCCTGACCACTAATTAAATCGAAGCAGTTAATCTAAGGAGTGTGACTGCTTCCTGAAACACAGTGTCCAGGTAACTCTCCCACTCCCTGATGAGTCTCAGTGTTCGAAGCTCAGGCTCCAGCTCATTAACTCTGAGCTGGGGTTCCTCGAGAAACCAACACTTGCTCTGAATGTGATCACTCTGAACCACAATGGAGTCCACCAACTCTAACACCATGTGTGTAAAACATAGGTGCCTGGTCTGGCATCTCTATTTTAATTACTTAGTTCTTATTTTAACAAGAATGTCTCCACCTGTGCCTTAAAAATATACAAGTCTACTCTATCTAACCTTTCCTTATAAGTCAAAGCTCCCTTTCCAGGTCTGGCAGCACCCATGGAGAGAAAGCAAACAGAAAGCAGAGAACTTCTGATGAGGCATCGCTGGACTTGAAATGTTAACTCTGTTTTTTCTCCACGGATGCTGCCAGACCTGCTGAGTTTCTCCTGTGATTTCTATTTTTGTTCCAGACATTAGTCTGGGAAACCTTCTCTGAACTGCCTCCCACACATCTATACCCTTCCTTACTTCAGGTGACCAACACTGTAACACAATGCTGCTGGTGCAGTCTCGCCAGAGCGCTGTATAACTGAGGTGTAACCTCCCTACTCTTGTATTCATTTCCCCCTCACAGTAAACCATCACACTCTCTGAGCTTTCCTGATTAAGTGCTGTACCCGCAGACTAACCTTCTGTGATTCATACACTCAGACACCCAGATCCCACTGCAGTGCAGAGCTCCACAATCTCTCACTGTTTAGGCAACATTTCTGCCAAAATGGATAATTTCACACTTTCCTGCAATATTCTCCATTTGCCAGATCTCTGCCCATTCCCGTAACCTTTCTAAATCCCTTTGTAGGCTCTTTATGTTCTCTTCACAACTCAGTTTCTAACCTATTTTTGTGACACCAGCAAATTTTGCTCCCCTACCTTCAATCCTTTCCTCCAAATCATTTCTATAAAAATGTAAAGGTTTGAGGTTCCTGCACTGACCCTGTGGCATATCCGCTCACGACATCCTGCTGGCCTGAAAAAAGACCCACTTCTTCCTACTGTCTGCTTCCTGTTCACCAACCAATCATCTCTCCATGTCACTGTTACCACTGTCACCGTCAGCCTTTGATGTGGCACTTGATCAAATTCAAGTTCAGTCCGTCTCCTGGTTCCTTCATCAACAGAATGTGTTGCCTTCACAAAGAATTTAAAAGGTGTCTCCTAGTTCTAGACTAACCCTGACTCACATTCATCTTGTCAAGATCCCTCTGCATCTTATACAGTACAATCAGGTCTCCTCCCAGACCTCTTCATCTCACCCTATCACTGCATCCTTCTATTCCCTTCTCCCTGTGTGTTCATCCAACTTCTCCTTAAATATATCCATAGATCCTCATCAAACACTCCCAGGACAGGGA